TGACGTCCAGAATGCGCCGGCGTTTATACCAGTTGGACACTATGCCGTCCACCGGTGGCCAGGGCTATCTCGATCATGGTGAAAGTGCGGCCATCGAGAACAAATGGGTGTTCGAAGTGGCCTGGGAGGTGGTCAACAAGGGTAATTTGTTAATTTAGTTGTTTTTAATCTAGTTATATTAATAGCATTTTACATAGTATTTTTTTATAATAGTATAATGTGTGACATTCGTGTGTTGTATTGCATAAGTACTTGTGTGACCTATTATGCAGTGTGTGTGCTATACATGTGATCTATTAATACATTACATAATCGCATGTTATTTTACAAACATTAAATTTTTTTTGGTGAGATTTATGTGCAATATTTGTTGCCTGAGCAGTGATTGCAAAAAATAGTGCTAGCATATTTTAATGTTTTGCGTTTTACTATGAAAAATTAGTTTTTATAATGAATAATCATCTGATTAAATGGGAAAGTTTTCGCACTTTGTATAGAATTTTATTAATGATATTTATGAACTTGTTTAAAACTACATTTATCTTATTTATATTTTTTAATTGCAAAGTAAAATGAATGCCAATAATCACATTAAAAATTTTACTATTTATATGAAAAATAATTTTTAAATAATATTAAACCCGTTTTGTAATATAAATGTAAATTAAGGGAAACACCTATCGATCAAGATGAAAAAAATATATTAAACTATCGAGATTAAAAGTTTTAAAATCACTTGCGAAATACCATTTTAAAATAAATTACAAACATTAAAAATTAATTCATTATAACTAATGGATAGTCATATCTCTTTATATAATAGCTGGTAATAGTGAAGGCATTTAATAAAGTATAAAAGCACATGTATTTTTAAATAGTTAAAAGTTTTCACTAGTTTTTAGTAAATTTTTATTTTTTTGTAGATTGAATAAGGTGATTATCCTTGACTTACCAGCCCGTTCTGGCACTGGTGTGATTTTATATACCCATACATAACTGGATACGAGTGATTCAATAAGAAACTTTTCCAATAGGAATTTTTCACAAATGTAGTAAAAATCCAACTCGATAGATATCTCATAAATCCATGATAACCTTGTAGAAAGTTGTCATCAATGATAGTCACTGTATGGTAAAAGTTATAGTAGGGATCGGGATATTTATTGGGGACAGGGATGTGCCCATGCATTTGGAGAGAGAGAGAGAGAGAGAGAGAGCATGGATAGCATTTGCAATGACTTTTGATATTTTTACTGATTTAATCACAACTAAATATATTTATAAAAGTCTTGAAATACAAAAACAAATTATATTTTAAGTCATGAATGAGAATAACATATGATTTAAATGTCGGCAAAAATAAATTTTTAATGTTAATTATGTGGGATTTTAATTAAAGTTTTTAGATAATTTATATTATATAATATAATAAACTTATATACAGTTTATTTGCACTAATAATACAGTATGAAAGTATAATCTTATAATAAAAGTAATTTTATTTAGATTAAAAGTTATATAAAACTATCATATCTGGTATGAATCGTGTGGTTGTGTTTATATCTAACGCTGATTATTAAATAACTTTAAATTAATATAAAAAATTAATTTTAGATACAAAAACTAAATTAATATAAAACTAATTACAAATTAATAAACAATTAAAAAATACAAAAAAATAATTTATAACTAAACTTAAACACTCTAACTAATAACAAACACATAATAATTTAACTAAATAAATTAAAATTATTTTTAACCATGCATACATTTTCACAGTCGGAGGCATATATACGGTAATCCGGACCAAAGCCCAGGTGACCAGCGAGGAGTTGGGCGATCAGTACGTACTCGTCGGCCCCTATAATGAACAGTACGCCCGGACGGAGGTGGAGATCGAGGAGCCCACCCATCATGCCTTCAAGGGTGCCATCGATACGCTCAAGAGCTTTGGCATACGAGTCAGTCAATCAGTGCACATATCTAACACCTTACCCCCCCCCCC